CTGATCCTTCAAAATTCGTGGCTCATTTGCAAAATTCGATTGCATATTTGGATTCTTTGCAAAAAATCGTGTCCGGGAATATATAATTTGCATATTATGTGTTGGATTTAATAATTTTAGTAGATTAAGTTCATGAGTGTATGAAATAACTAAAGAACAATATGGAATAAATGCAAAATGCACAGTATGTTGGCACATGTTAATGCTGATCCCCCCTTCTCTCTCCACACCATATGGTGCGTTACCATTGGATCTACCCAATGAATAGGATTAAACAGGAATAAGACTAAACTGTTGATCACATGCATGCATGTATAGTGTGTATCAAGAATCATAACCATCAGATCTATGCAAATCTGATCAAACGAATCACATTCTCTCCCACGTTGACTTTGGATCATTGACTGTTGACTATGCTAATTTTTTGTTTGACTAGGCCATTAGACCATATTTGGCGCCTAGTTTGGATCTTTTTACTACCAGCATCGCTATCCATACACCGACCTTGCTGAATTGTTTTTTATTTGTTTGTTCTTTTTTATTTTAAATTCTTTTTGTTGTTTTTTTTAATTCATGAAAAAAATACAAAAATACCTATTAATACATACTTTTTAATTAAAATAGCTTAATGCATAATTAGTGTTAGATTTAATTAGGTTTTAATTAAGAATTAATTGAATTTTAATTTATTAATTTTTCTTTTAATTTTCTGAATCATATTTTTAATACACATAAAAAATATTAAAAATACACATTTAAATATACATTTTTAATAGATAAAATTTATTTTAATTGGATTTAGTTTTGGTAGAATTTAATTAATTAGGATTATATTTTAATTAAGTTCAGTTACTGATTTCTTTTTAATTTCATTTCATGTTTATTTAGAAATTAGAATTGACATGATTAAATTTCAATTTTTAACGCCTTATTTCTTTTCCATAATTCCATGTGCTCAATATGTTTCTAGCATGACTTTTTCCCGTTGATTAGTTGATCAACTTCACTCTTGATCAATTAATTATTTTGAATTAGACTTGTCTTAGACTTTTCAAGAACAACTTACATGCTCCCCTAGGATCCATATTTATTCAAGTATCATAAGTCCCTTGATCACTTGATTGAATTAAATTCTTTCAATTACACTACACTGGATCTCTCAACTTAGGTCAAGCTTCATACTCTAGACATTTAAGACTCTGGACGTCATGACTTTGATCACTGCTAGGCATCCTTCAAGCACAACAAAAAGATTCTTCTTTCAACACTTGTCAATCACGATGTGAATTATACGCCACGAGCCTTAAGCAACAGAGAAGAATGAGAGAGATGATTCCTATCCGTGTTCTGAGTATGTTTGAATACGAGACGTAGGCCCCGACTACACAAAGTATTCGCTTCCGTTCATAAACTTTAGTGCAATTCAAATCGAGGCAATCTTTTCAAAGCTAAAATCAGTCTCAACTCATCAAATTCTTTTTCACCTTAGGGAATTCAAAAAATATTTTAAAAAGGACATGTTATCTTCGTTTTACCACAAAGAAACAAACACTTAAGTCTCCTACGCGCGAGCATACTATGAGTGTACTTTTAGATTTTGAGTGATGTCAAAACTAGGATAGTGTAACATTATGTATATTGGACGATATCCTCCATTTCTAGATGATCATCTTAGTATTAGGAAACATTCAAATGATTTGGAAAATGAGATTACATCATATATGCATTAAAAACTTAGTTTTTGTGAAAAATGTATTGAAAAACAAGTTTTTGCGTGGTCAAACCATTTTAGGTCGACAGATGCGCGAATAGGTTGACCTATATAAGTTTTAGCTTCAATATAGGTCGAAATATAGAATCTCAGGTCGGATCCCATGGATCAATATTAAAGGTTGTAGCCACTGTCCAAAGGTTGCCTCACTTAGGTAGACACATAGGCGACACAAGATCTTCATAGGCCGACCTGAAACCTTCTTAGGCCGGCCTGAGTACCTTGATAGGCCGACCTATTGCTTCAATAGGCCGACACATACGATGACCTATCTCAAAAATTTTATTTTTTTTCTATATCACTCTTGCATTCCTTTTTCTTTTTTTCTCCCATACCTATATATATACATTTTTTTAGCAAGGTACTAGGGTAAAACCTAAACGAAACCAGAATTACAAAGTTTTTCCATCATCTTCAACCCTTCTTCTATACAAACACACAATCAAACTACACATAATCATTTTTTTATTGGGTGACCATCTAGATTAGGGTTGATAACTTCCAATTAGGTTGGTGTAATCGAGAATATTGGATTGAGATCTTTGTGTGTTTCAAATAAGAAAACTAAGCTATGGGTTTCCTTCAAGATCATTGGGATTTGAAGGTTCTGAACAAGATCACGCACACAAATATTCGACCGAGTGAAGGCCTTGGGACAAGGTGGTTCCTTGCAAGGGAGTAGCGCGAGACGGTGAATCTTGTTTGGGAATCTTGGATTCAACTAGTGCATGCTAGGGATTAATTCGACCAAGCAAAAACCTTGAAGATGAGGAGGTTTTGCAAGCAAGTAGTCAAGAACAAGTGGATTGTAGCAACATTGTTGGTGACTTGATCAAACTTTGATCAAGGGTTTGGAGGTGGTAGAATCAACAACAAACCATAGGGTTTGTGGGGTTAGAGTTCTTCATCTCTTGTATAATTTTTTTTGCAAAGATAAGGTTAATTGCAAGTATCTCAATTTGATTTCGGATTGAGGACAGACGTACCCATTGCGAGGACAACTGGGGAACTGCCTGAACAAATCTTTGTGTGTCTCTCTCTATCTATCTATTTCTTTAAATGTTGTTATTGCAAATTATCGAGTTCATAGTTGTTTGATCAATTTGATCGAAATTGTTTTTCAATTATATTTTAAAGTGTTGTTGATATAATCATAATCACTTTGATTGTGATTGACTTTTAACATGAATAAAACAAATTGAATTTCCAATCGTTATCGGTCGCACACAAAGTGTTCGATAAATTGCCTTTAAGTATTTTAATTGATTTGTGTTCATTGGAAATAAGCTTTACAAATAGCTTTGCATTTAATTGATCCGTGAATTAACCGTTTTTGAACAATTTTTGTTCATTATCATCCTAATTGGTTTATATTACGCATATCTGAGATTTTCGATAGTAGGTTCGGTTATACGATTCGATTCGAGTTGTTTCTGTTGTGCCATAAAACTTTTGAAAACAATTTATGCCAAAAGTTCTGTTTTCTATTTGTGATCTATTCACCCCCTCTAGATCGAAGCCTATCATCTAACACATACAAACAACGTTTAACTGCTGAGTCGCGAACGTTAACACCGTTCACTAAAAAAAATCAACAAATCCGTGTTTTCTACCATGAACTACGGAGCTTTGATTTTTTCATTGCACTATGAGAATACATAGGCACATGACTTTGAAATCTTGGCGTGAACATTAATTTAAAAATTTTATTTCCCATAATTAAAACCAATTGCAAGTAAACTTTAGATAATAACACCTATCCTCGCAAAGAACAATTAAAACAGTTCCCGTCGAGTACAACTAATGTAAGGGGTGTTAATACATTCCCCTTGCATAACCGACTTCTGAACTCGAATTTGGTTGCGATAACCATTTTCTTCACCTTTTGGGGTTTTTATCGATATTTTCCTTTTACTTTGGAATAAATAAAGTTTGGTGGTGACTCTGTATTTTTTGTGTAGCGACACTATTGTCGCAACATTATCTGCAAAAGTGTGGATTTGCAAACCTGCCATCATGGCAGTTGGTATGCCATATGGGTAATCTCTACTCAGTAGAGGTAGTGTAAGACTTGGGACATAAGAGGGTGTATGGTCCCCTACAATATCCATAGTAGCCAGGGGGTAGTTGGGATATTCACTACTAGAGGTAACGAGGCTACCGCTCCTCGTAATGACGTCGAAGTCACTATTTGACTCAGTACTCTAATTCTATAGAGAAGTATATGAAATTTGCGACCTTAATTAAAATGTATGAGCCTACTGTTTATACTAAACTAAATATAATCATCTCCGACAATTCATTCTTAGAAAGCATCCTTCTTAGAAATTAATCTAATAAAACAATAATCATACTTTAGAGTAGAAACCAAACAACCATAGAAGCATGCATGCATAAAGAACCTTAGAATCTATCATATGTTGATATATCAAAGACTATAGGAATACATTAATCTAAGAAAAGAAATTATCTAGTTAGTGATGATAGTAACCTAAAGATCTGTTTTAAGTATCCCATCCTCGTAATGAAAAAAAAAATCACTCACTAATTTCACAAAACTCTAATATACGTATAAAAAATCTCTCATCATCCACACATGAACCGACACTTTCCAACCTTCATTTTATATTTCACAAGTACCGATTTCATATCAATTAACTAAACATAAAATTAATTACAAATCATAAATTCAATTATTCTTATTACTTCATTTATCACAATCAAAACTTTAATTGATAAATAATTAATATGCTTAAATAAAAATATACTATTGAATAGCAATAACCATATCTCTTTATCGAACTACCCAATGAAAAAACAAAAACACAGCCTTCCCAACGGTTACATTACACCTTTCTCTTTTTCGCTCCTTTTCTTTCTCTTTCTCTTTCTCTTTCCCTCACAACATCACCAAAAGACACAGCTCAACAATGCATACATCACCATGTCCCACAATTTCCTCCCGACCATTCTCCCAAATCCTCCGTAGATCTCGCCATTCACTCTTTCCAGCTTCAACACACACAAAAAGCGTTGGATTGTATTCTATACCATTCTGGAAGAGAGAGAAGCCAAAAAAAAAAAAAAACCATTTTTCTTTCCTTTCACCATGTTTCTGATTCTGGGTATTCTTCCTTTTGTTGTTTGATCATATCATTTTGTCTCGGAAGCGGTCTCACACTCCGCTTCCGAGCCGGGTAAATTCCGGTCACCGGAATTATTATCTAAAATGGGTTGTGTGAACTCCAAGAAAGCTCGAAGAGGAAGAACCAACACGGTTTCTCCTGTTGGGCCTTATGTTTATAAGACGAGTTCGCGAAAAAGGAGCAATGGTTCTGGTAGAAGCATGGTGGTGGAGGCTTCTTCTTCTTCTAGAGGACATTCTGGTGTTCTTGCGAATCAACAGCAGCAACAACAACAGGAAGAAAGGAAAAAGGGAGATTTGAATGTGAGGATTGGTTTGTCGCATAGGTTTGTTGAAGGTGAACAGGTTGCTGCTGGTTGGCCTTCTTGGCTTACTTCTGTTGCTGGTGAAGCCATTCATGGTTTGGTTCCTCTCAAAACTGATTCTTTTGAGAAATTAGATAAGGTAGTTTTCTTCTTTCAGACATGACATTGTAATGGTTGCATTTGCGTCGCGGTCATTGATATTTGCAGAGAATCTCAATCATATGTAGCCTCAATCGGGTTGCATTTGCGTCGCGTTCATTGATATTGCAGAGAATTGCAATCATATGCAGCCTCAATCGGGTTGCATTTGCATCTCGATTATAGATATTGTGAAGAATCGCAATCATATGTGGCCCCGATCGAGCTGCATTTGCATTGTGGTCTTGATAATTTTAAATATTGTTATGTCGCGACGATAGCGAATGCAGACATTTATTTAAAACCCTAGATTCCTATTTAGGATGAGATGGTTTGTAGCTCTTGAGTCCAAGGCAGAGAAAACCTCGATAATTGTTGAGAGTTGTGGTCAAATTTGGACGCAATGTAGTTTCGAAAACATATGAACTGTTATGCCGTGGCTCAGATTGCGGTTTCAAACCTTTGTTAAGGCCTCGGATCCTAAATTTTGTTAAAGGAAATTTTCGGATGAGGGTTTGCGAAATGCGAACAAATGCAGCCTTACCGTGGTTGTGAACCATAATTTATACATATGATTGTGCCTACCCGAGTTCATGGTAGAGAAAACCTTTCGGTTCTAATACAATCGTTAAATATTTTTCAATGTTTATTTATGTTTCTGTAGGTTGGACAAGGTACATATAGCAGTGTTTTCCAAGCTCGTGAAGTCGAGACAGGGAAGATGTTTGCGTTGAAGAAGGTGCGACTTGACACACTTCAACCGGAGTGCATTAGGTTCATGGCGCGGGAGATCATAATTCTCCGGACACTTGACCACCCTAACATCATGAAATTAGAGGGTATAGTCACTTCACAATTATCAAATAGTATATACCTTGTATTTGAATACATGGAGCATGACCTCGCTGGCCTAATATCTAACCCCGATATCAAGTTCACAGACTCACAGGTTTGGCAACATTTCCTTTGTGATAATTTCGTGGTTTTCTTTAGTTACGTTAACCATTCGTATAAAAATTTGTTACGTTAATTGTTGTTTCATATCTTCTTCAACAGATTAAGTGTTACATGAGACAGCTATTGAGTGGAATCGAGCACTGTCACCTACGAGGTATTATGCATCGAGACATTAAAGTATCGAACATATTAGTTAACAATGAAGGAATTTTAAAGATCGGAGACTTTGGATTAGCAAACACCGTTAGCCAAAGTAGCAAACATCCTTTAACAAGCCGTGTAGTGACTCTATGGTATCGTCCTCCTGAGCTTTTGATGGGAGCAACAAACTACGGAGTTACAGTCGATCTCTGGAGCGTAGGGTGTGTGTTTGCCGAACTTTTTCTAGGGAAGCCCGTCCTTAAGGGGAGAACTGAGGTTGAACAATTGCACAAGATATTTAAGCTTTGCGGGTCTCCGCCTGAAGAGTTTTGGAAAAAGAGTAAGCTTCCGCTTGCAACAATGTTTAAGCCTCAGACTAGTTACGAAAGCTCGCTTGCGGAGAGGTGTAAAGGCTATATTCCTCTATATGCTGTGCATCTACTTCAGACCTTACTCTCCATTGATCCAACGAATCGCGGTACTGCCTCTTCTGCGCTTATGTCCGAGGTAAATCCTATGTGCATTATAGTTTTCTCCTAATTTCAATACGATATTGAAATACCACTTTTCGTTGTGTTTGCACGAGTTAACTTTTTGTGCATTCTTTGCGCGGCGTTGCTTGTGTAGTATTTCAACACCGCACCGTATGCTTGTAATCCATCACTCCTGCCAAAATATCCACCAAGCAAAGAAATGGATGCTAAGAATAGGGATGACATGCAAAGGTAAATTATTAAATCTTTTCCACCCATAGGAAATAGTCATTGGTATAGTCATTGGTTAAGAGTCCTACATCAGACATCATATGGCTTGAATATATGTTTATAACCCGGTTTTGTAAGATAGTGTTTGACCCAACGACAATTATTAAGATGGTACTAGAGCCTCGTTTAAGATCTGTTGAACTACTTACTATCAGGTTTCCACTATCGGGTCACCCATCATTTATAACCATGCACCGAGCCATGCTTTTCTGATGAAACTATGCACTTTTTTTTCAAATTTTTTTGACTAAAGTCTTTACCTCTCGCCCTCAGGAAAAAGAATGGAGGTAAAGTGCGAGAGCGAGATGCTGTGACGTCTGGAAGGCAAAGACGGGGCCATAAAAATGCGCAGGATCCTCACAATGTCAGCAAAGCAGCTTTGAAAGAGGTATTCTTTACTTAGCATTGTCAAATAACAGGGCTATCTATGCGTAGCAAAGTTTGAATAAATTTCGACTTAGCAAAAAGTGTTGTCGAATTGCAACTTTTTATTTCGACTTAGCAAAAAGTGTTGTCGAATTGCAACTTTTTATTTCGACTTAGCAAAAAGTGTTGTCGAATAACTTTTTATTTGCTTCTCTTTCTTACTTTCGAAGGGAATGCAGAATATTTCTCTAAACGCTGGTAAAGACGGTAAAGAGGGTGATGGTAAAAAGGGAAAAGGAGGCGCTATGCACAAAGAGCAACAAAAACATTTGTACGACACCAAATCAGACACTGCGGAAAAGGTGAACGGTTACGACGGCTATAGTGCGTACACAGGACCGACACAAGTCTCAGGATCTAGTGGCTTTACGTGGGTGAAAAGACGAAAACCAGAACCTTCATCAATATTATCAGATGGCTCAAGAAGCAAAATCAGCGCAATGGATCCAACCTTTGCGAAAGGCACATATGAATTAACAAAACACGGGATGAATGTTTCAGAAAGGAAACATAATAATTACAATGCAAGTCATCGCAACGAAACTTCCAAGAACGCACTACCAAAGCACCTGGGTCATAATGGTCAATCTGAATCGTTTGATGCAGCTGATATATATAATTCCAATTATTACATGGATTTTGATCTCGCAGATAAAACGGATACTCATAAAAATGCGCAGGTAAGTTCGAAATCCTCAAATAAACATATATACAAATGATATTGATCAAGATTCATATTTTCTTTGCTAATTTTTTACAGGACCATACAAACTATGATGAACCTGTGGAGCTATCAGTACCAACTATGACCGGAACAGATAAAAATGGCGAGTTAAGTTGGAACGAAAATAATAAGTGGCGACAATCTCTTCGTAAATCAAGGTTGGGAAGAGGTAAGGAAACTTTTCTTGTCCAAGAAGTTATCTTACATACAAGACTTTTGTGTAATGTTTAATTCAATGTGTTTTACAGACAAATGAATAGAGTTATAACCGCGTCGACAAAGGGTGCTTGACTTAAACATTGTGGCAAACGACAGACTCCATTTTCGACGACATTCAAACTGTATTAACTTCTGACTTCAGCTCTTTTGAAAGCTATGGCACTATCCCTCTTTTTGTTCATAACAAAGTGTTCATACATAGGAGCAACTGTGAAATATATAGGATAATATACAGTAACAATGCCAACATTGAAGATGATATGATTAAAGAAATGCTTTAATTTTTTTATGATAGATATTGTGTTTAGTTTAGTACATAATATCTTTATTTATATATTTATTTTTCTTTGTTGTGTATATATATGTAGTAGTATTATGGTATATCAAAATGATAATTTGGGTCATGATTTAAAGCATAATCCATTGGATTCATCATCAGATATTAATTTATTCAAAATACACACCTTAATCTTGTCCTTTATTAAACTCTAAGGTTTCTTCACGTAGATCGTATCTTCAAGAGTTCTTTTTAAGAAATCTATATTGATTCAACTCAAGATTATATTGATTCACAATAGTTATAAGAATTTATATAGATAAAAGTTTTATCACTTGTGAAATTTTTTTATTGGAATAAATTCTCTTCATATTGTTGGGGGAGATTTTCACTAGGGAACATTGAACATTGTGAGACTACTTTTTTAGAGTAAGAAACCCATCAAGTGTGAGTCTATCCACAATGCTTCTACAATGTTCCCCTTTAAGCGGAAGTTTCAATTGTGCAACTGCATTGTTGGGGGAAGATGTTTCAACTAGGGAGCATTGAACATTGTGAGACTTTTCTTTTCTAGAGCAAGAACTTTGTGAGAGACACACCACATATGAGTTCTCTCACTTATAAATGCTCAAGTCACCACATTCCTATTTGTAGTAAATGTGCCTTAAAAACTTTGTTGATGAAGAGAAAGAAAAGATATCTTGGAGATTGCATTTACTGCAAAAATTAGAAAGCCAGGTGGAATGTCGAAAGAAAAAAAATCTGTCGGTTCCGTACGGTGAATAGTGTTATCCGTACGAATGAATATTGACGTCCGTACGGTGAATGATATTGTCCGTATGGCGAACAATGTTTTCAAGTTTTCGGGTTTTTTCGATTCGGTCCATGGATCCATGTGATTTTGGGATTTGTTTGTTGGGTATTTGCTATTATAAATATGTATCTCTTATATGCTTGGTGTGTGACTATCTTAAAGTTTTCACCAACAAGGGAGACCAAGAGTTTAAAGGTATAACATATGGTTTCAGTTATGCACAAAGAAAACCTTGGATTACACTTTCGGTTTGAGTAATTCATATATTGAGAGTTGGAGAGGTAGGGAAACACTTGGGTAAAAAATAGGGTTGTTCTTGGGCACCTTCAGGGTTGTTCTTAGGAACCTGATGGCAAAGGCTATTTTCTTGTAACTCATCTGTAATCTCTTGTAACAACTTTCTGAGTATAGTGAATTGGAGAGATGCTCTCTCCCCTAGAGTAGATCGTTTGATCGAATTGGATAAACAAACCTTCGATTTTTTTTCTTGCCTTATTCTGTTATATTATCTGTGTACGGATTACTATTGCTGAAGACCATTTATTTTGGTTGCTATTGTTCTTTGCCGCACAAGTTGAAATTGAATTTTATCGTAATTCACAACAAGTGGTGCGGTGAGTATGAAGCAAAGAGATATTGTTGACAAGTGAGTACTATGGTTAGTAGATGGCAGATTGAGAAATTTTTCGGTAACAACGACTTTGGGTTGTGGAAAATTAAGATGCAAGCAATTTTAATTCAAGAGAAGTGTATCGATGCTTTGAAAAATGAAGCATTGATGCTTGCAGGGCTTACACAGGTACAAAAGATCGAGATGGTGGATAAAGCCAAGAGTACCATTATCTTGTATCTCGGGGATAAAGTTCTAAGAGAAGTCGCCAGGGAGAAAACTACGGTTGCTATGTGGGAAAAACTTGAATCATTGTATATGATAAAGTCTTTGGCTCACAAGTTGTATCTGAAACAACAACTCTATTCATTCCGAATGGTGGAGAACAAATCCATAGTTGAGCAGCTCATAGAATTTCACAAGATTATCGATGATCTTGAGAATATTGAAGTGAAGATTGACGATGAGGACAAGGTTTTGCTTCTGTTGAGTTCATTACCCAGATCCTTAAGCATTTTAAGGATGCCTTTGTTTATGGTAAGGAAGGTACTATTACTTTGGATGAAGTCCAGACGACGGTGAAATCCAAACAATTTTCGAAGTCGAAAAATTTGAAGATTGAAGATAGTGGCGAAGGCTTAAATGTGCCAAGAGGAGGAGGTGAGCGTAAAGGAACGTCCAAATCAAATAGTTCTGACAAGTCAAAGGTAAAATGTTTTATTTGTTAGAAAATCGGCCACTTTAAAAGGGATTGTCCTGAAAGAAAGGTCAGTGAAGTTATTAGGATTGGGTGAGAAAAGTTATTAGGATGCCAAAGCACTAGTAGTATCGAGTTTGGAAACTGGAGATAGTTTGGTCATTGACCCAGGTTGCTCTTATCACATGTGTCAAAGAATAGAATACTTTAAAACTTTGAAGATGGTGCAAGGTGGAGTAGTTCGCCTTGGTAATAATAAGGCATGCAAGGTTCATGGTATTGGTATGGTCCGATTTAAAATGTTTAATGACCATAAACTTTTTATTCATAATGTGAGGTATGTTTCAGAACTCAAGCGAAATTTGTTATCTATAAGTATGTTTGATGATCTAGGCTATTGTACTATAGTTGAACGTGGAGTGTTGAAGATTTTGCGTGATGAATTGATTATTACTAAAAGGTCTAAAATATGTGGTATATATATTTTAGAAGGTTCAAATGTTATTATTCATTCATCGTTAACTAGTGGAGACTTTCATGACAAAGAAGAGCTATGCGATTTGAGTTTAAGGCGTTATGAATGCCTTGAGAAAGTTTCAGAGGAGCACAATGAATTTTGCAAAAATTAAGGGATAAAAATGCATGTTACCTCTGAGTTGTTATTGAATTTTTGGGGAAGATCTGAGGTTAAAACAACTTACTTGGTTGGTAGAGAATTTCTTCAGAAGAAGAATAGTGAAAACCAAGGGAGAAACTATAACGAAAAAAACTTAGTTTGAGGTGAAGTTTTCTTCTATGGGTGCTAGTAGTAGTGAGGGAACGGTTATACAGATCTCTGATTATCATTTGACTCATGATAAGGTAAGCAGGGTTATTGTAGCATCTCAAAGGGATGATTATGCTAGACTTAGATATTATGTTTTTAATGGGGCTGAAGGACTGCAAAATAAAAGAAGAAAAACCTTCCGGGAGACATTTGAAAATAGTTGGAGTCAAAGGTGGTTGAAAAATCATACTTGTAGGCTTGTTAAATTACCTAGGTAGAAAAGGGTAATTGGGAACAAATAGATGCAAGTTGCGAGATCAAGATTCAAGGGTTGCTTGAATTTGATCAAAGTTATTGATTAAAGTTTCAATTTGGTAGAGAGCAGCACTGTTGTTGATTGGTATCAACACAGTTTAAAGTCAAGGTGGAAATTGTTGTAAATGTGTCTTAAAACGTTTGTTGATGAAGAGAAAGAAAACATATTTTGGAGATTGCATTTACTGCGAAAATTAGAAAGTCGGACGAAAAGTCGAAAGGGAAAAAAATCGGTCGGTGAATAGTATTGTCCGTACGGTGAATAGTATTATCCATACAGATGAATAGTGACATCCGTATGGTGAATACTATTGTCCGTATGGTGAATAATATTTTCGAGTTTTCGGGCTTTTTCGATTCGGTCCATGGATCCATGTGATTTTGAGCTTTGTTTGTTGGGTATTTGCTATTATAAGTATGTATCTCTTATATGTTTGGTGTGTGACTATCTTAGAGTTTTCATCAACAAGGGAGACCAAGGGTTTAAAGGTATAGCATAAGGTTTCAGTTATGCACAAAGAAAACCTTGGATTACACCTTGGGTTTGAGTGATTCATATATTGAGAGTTGGAGAGGTAGGGAAACACTTGGGTAGAAAATAGAGTTGTTCTTGGGCGCCTTCATGGTTGTTCTTGAGAACCTGAAGGCAAATGCTATTTTCTTGTAACTCATCTGTAATCTCTTGTAGCAACTTTCTGAGTATAATGAATTGGAGAGCTGCTCTCTCCCTTAGAGTAGATCGTTTGATCGAACTGAATAAACAAACATTCGGTTCTTTTCTTTCCTTATTTTGTTATATTATCTGTGTACGAATTATTATTGCTGAAGACCATTTATTTTAGTTGCTATTGTTCTTTGCCTCACAAATTGATATTGAATTTTGTCGTAATTCACAACAAGATTTACAACGCTATCCAATGTGGGACTATTATCTACACTACTCACACTTGTTAATACTTAACACATATGAGTAAAATTTTTTGCCACAAAATTGCTTTTTACGTTGGTTCCTTGACCCATAATACCTTTTTTATTCTTGAAAATCCATTGAAAATAACTATTATTATTGTTATTATTATTATTATTATTATTATTATTATTATTATTATTATTATTATTATTATTATTATTATTATTATTATTATTATTATTATTATTATTATTATTATTATTATTATTATTATTATTATTATTATTTTTGTATTTTTAAAAGATTCTAAGTATGTTTTCTTCGATGAATATATTTGTTCATTCAATGTTTTCAAATATTGTAAAATAGTTTTAATGCAAATTAAAAAGATTAATGCAAAATGGAAAAGTATAATGTATTTGAAAAACATTTTAATGTAGAATTAATTTTTTTTGATGTAGATAAATGATATGATGCAAAATAAAATAAAATGATCAGGTGAATGAAATGATGTAGATGAAAATAAGATGAAGATATGAACGAAATGCTCATATCAATAAAATATGTTATGTACACATAATAAACACATACTATACACAAATATCACACTAAACAAAAGACAAAAAAATAAAATAAAGTACAACTACA